TAACACCTGTTGTTGTATCCCGAAATGAACGTGAACGTGTACTTATAGAACCATCCATAAATTCGGTACGCGTTAGCATTTCTGTTAAACAAGCCGACGAGATTGAAAAAATTCTTTGCCATAAGTTCACACGTTTCATGATGAGACGAGCTGAATCCTTCATAATATTACGTAGAAAACCAATTGATGGCTATGATATAAGTTTCCTTATTACCAACTTTCATACAGAACAAATGTACAAACATAAATTAGTGGACTTCGTTATAAGTTTCATGGAAGAGATTGACAAGGAAATCAGTGAAATGAAATTGGCAGTGAACGCAAGGGCACGTACCTGCGCAGAAGAATTCCTTAAGCGATTTTAGACATAATCATTTCTTGCAAAAATATAATTATATTATTAGTAAACCATATAATTATGAAATTGTTTTGTATTTCAATTTAATTTAATGGACCAATTTCGGTCGCCAATAAAAAGTATTTTATTTCTTCCTAAAATATATTTATGTACATATAAATAATTTCTCCCTACTATAAAAATCAACAATTAAAAAGTAGATATTCCTGGTATTTTTATTCTACGAAAACTGGCATCTTGGTTACAAATGAATGAATCCGTCAGTTAACAATTCTCGTTTGTGGTGCTTTTTCGATTTATTAAAACCTGTTTCAAAAATATAATCACATCAGTGTTTAGGGTATTGATTTCTCGTTTTACTCAACAACAAATTACTTTATTTAGTCGCTAAGGATTCATTTTAACTATTTTAGATTATAAATTACCAAATTACATAATAAAATTGTATTTTATATTTGGGAAAAATAAAAGAAAAAAGGCGCTAAAATATGTAGGAACAATGTGTAACTTTTGATTATTTTTTTGAATTTACAAAAGGCTTACTTAGAACTATTCTTCCATTTAAATATGATTATCCCAATATTTTGTGGACGGTGTCAGGATGCCAAGTCTTTCCTAAGTCTTCTTTGTCTACGTCTTCCAACGTTGGAACGCTTGTTGCTGTATTTTTCGAACTTAGTTTAGTAACCATCTCGATTCTTTTACTGTAAAAAATTGATTGGAAGCTTTTCGTCTCATATTTTCTACACGATTTTTATGTAATACCTAAGTGTTCAATTATGTGCTGAACTGTTGAAGATCTTAGATTTATCATTTCAGCTATATTTCGTTGAAAAATACCCTTTTTTAAATGTTCCAATGCCAAAATGTTGACATCTACTTTGAAATTTTTTATGCTATTATTTTTTTTCATAATTCTTAGATATGATTCGATTTGTATTAATTTAAACTACAACACGCAGCTAAGACTCCGTAATTATAATATATGCTCATTCCTATTTAATATGTATTCTAATATTTGCTCCCACCAAGCTATGAATATTTCTGTGAAACCATGTAGTTGCCAAAACAATTATCTGTCATAATACTGTCAAAGTAAAATTTTTATCATATAATATACGTAAGCGAAACTTCGAAAAAATTTTGAACACTTGTGCATCTCTGTGTGATATTGCGAAAAATATCTCTTATATTAAAATTGGTGTGATTTCTTATCAAAGAAGATTTTATATAGAACGGAACCTTAAATGAGAACAACACAAAATAACAAACACAATCTGAGAAATTGCACTACCATCCCAAAATGTACGATTATTTCCAACTTAAACAACTTAAGGTCCTTATTCGCTCCGAATACGAACCTTAACTTGCTCCTTAACTTACTCTTAAGAAAAATTATATGGGCAATGAGTGCAATAGGGAGCATAATTTTGACTCTCTGGTTTGATTTGTTGACAAAAAACATTATTGCACTGCCCCAAATTTAAAAAAAATTACCGCCAGAATGATTGTAAAAAAGGTAGTAAAATTCTTGTATCACTGTTTGTGATAACTTATTTTTTCTAATAATAACAGCAAATTAATAAGTTAATAATAATAATGCAAGTAATTAATAAACAAGTATTTTAGAGACGATAAAAAGTTTTATTAGAAGTTTTACTGTGTTCCAAACATTTGTATTATTTATTCTAAAAAATGACCCAAAAATTGTTTTAAATTGATGTTTTTTGTATGTGTCATTATTTTTATTTCGGTCAATCTATACGTCATCTTAATTATTTATTCTATATGTCTTATAACTATTTTGTTTAAGTATTTCACTTTTATTTCTATTATGTTTCTAGGTAAAGATTCATAACAATAACATAAATGAAATAATTAAACGACAGTGTAATATATTTATAAATATAAGCAGGAATTCTATATATGTTTCCAAATATATATTGAATATTTTTTTTGTATACACAGTTTAATAAAACCGTCTTATAGTTAAGCAAATCAATAACAGGTTAAAAATTTATATATATGTATATTGTATTTACTTTTTAATTGTTTTTGTATTGTATAATCATTCTCTTATTCAATGAATTTAATTTGTAGCTATATTAATAAAAATATTTAATTATATTAAATTATTTATGTATATTATATATTTAAAAAAACTAATTTCGTAATAAATAAATCACAAATACTTTATTATATATTTTTAGCAAAAGTGAAACACGGTCCGATGTATTTTTAACATGTTCTTTACTTCGCTTTATTAACTATACTAAAAATGAATAATGAATAATAATTACAAAAGGAATATAGAATAATGACAGGCCAGAGTTGCCAGGCAATTAATATTTAAAAAGTACTTTACATAACAACACCCCCTCTTAAAGTGCTTTTATTATGTATAAAATATGACTTTAATATTTCATTCCTAATTTCCGTAAGCAATTAACATGCTTTTCTGTAGTGAGTCCTTTGGTAAGGACGTCTGCGGGCATTTCTTCTGTTGGCATATATTTGATTTTAACAGTGCCGTCGTTAACCTTGCTGCGAATAAAGTGATAACGAATATCAATGTGCTTTGTCCGTGGATGATACCTGAAGCTTTCCGTTAATTTTTGAGCGCTTTGATTATCATTAAAGATTTCAATTGTTTTACTTGTAATGCCAACATCATCAAGGATTGCCTTTAGATATAACGCTTCTTTTGTGGCCTCAGATATGGCCATATATTCTGATTCAGTGCTTGAAAGCGCTACTGTACGTTGCTTTCGAGCTTCCCAACATATCGCTGCTCCTGATATAATGAACGCATACCCTGAATATGAACGTCTATCGTTTAAGTCAGCGCCCCAATCAGCGTCAACCAGACCATACAATTCTTCATTGTTTTTCTCATACAATAGACCATAGTTGCTTGTACCTTTAAGGTATCTTAGAATTCGTTTTGCTGCTTTCCAATGTTCCACGTTATAATTTGAATTGAACTGGCTAAGAAAGTTTACAGCAAACGCAATATTCAGGTCGAGTTGTAACAGCTAAGTACATTAATGCTCCTATCAAGCTTTGATAGGGATACATCTTCATAACACCTTCATCAATTTTTGTTGGTTTCGTTAACTTAATGTTCAATTCTATGGGAGTCTTCACTGGTTTACAGTCTTTCATATTGAACTTTTCAATGATGCTTTTTGCATACTTCTCTTGTGAAAGAAAAACTTGATGATCGCTTAAATTTTGATGAAACTCGATGCCAAGACAATTACTTACTATTCCCAAATCCTTCATTTCGAAATCATTCGCAAGTGCAGCCTTTATTTCTTTTATACGAAACTTATTATTGGACGCTATTAGTAAATCATCTACATATATTGTCATCAAAACAATGTCGTTACCTTCACGCTTAGTGAATACACAAGGATCCTGTTGTACTGCACTTAGACCCATATTCTGTAGTTTCTTTGTCAATTTCATGTACCATGATAGCCCAGACTGACGAAGTCCATAAAGAGCTTTCTTTAATAAACATACAGGTGACTTACTTGATTTAATCGCCTTTAACCAATGCTGCGCTGTTTCTTTAACTTTTCCACACAATATTGTTGAAGTTTTTCCCACTGGTTTTGATGAAACAACTTTGTTCAGGAATGGTATAAGATAATCGGGAATTTCCATGAAGACACTCTCTTCGAGCTCTCCATTTAGGTATGCTGTAATGACATCCATCTGATGGATCTCCAAATCCATTTTTGCTGCCAGTGCCGCAAGTAGTCTTATAGATGTTGAACGAGCGACTGGAGAAAACGTATCATGAAAGTCTTCACCTGGTCGTTGTGCAAAACCCTTCGCTACTAATCGTACTTTCTGTTTTTCGTCATCTTTAGTTCGAAGCACGAATCTATTCCCAATAACTTTTCGTGATTTCGGTCTTTCGACCACTTCCCATGTTTTATTCTTTAGTTGTGCCACCATTTCGTCTTCTAGCGCTTTTGACCAGGAATTTGTTTCATCGCTTTCAAGTGCCTCCAAAATCGTTACTGGAGTTTGATATGTAGTGAGAAACGCCATTTCACAATCTTCAAAAACGTTGTTGTCAGGTTCATCATCTGAATGGTTTTTATCACCAATTTTTCTTACTGAACTTGTATTTTCGTCTTCGTTGGATGATTCTTCACCATTCCGATTTGACGTGTAATATTCTTTTCGAGGCCTACCGCGTGAATTTGTGCGAATAAGTCTCGGACGACCTCTTCTACGAATGGAGTTTTCTTCTCGCGTATCTGTATTTTCTACAATTTTCGGATTGACCGACAGTTTCTGATTTTCACAATTTTCGAACGCAATATCGATATAATCATTTGTTTGGCAGTCGTTTTCATTGTTAATATAAATGTTTTCGTATTTATTATGATAGATATTTTTGTTTACGAACACGACATCACGACTTATTGTTATATTTCGTTTTGTAGGTGACCATAGCCGATAGGCTTTTGCTTCGTTTGAATATCCAACAAAACATGTAAGGTTCTGACTTAGAATCGAATTTATCTCTAGTCTTATCCTTTTTTAGGACATATGCTTTAGAGCCAAATACTTGAAAATGTACAATAGTTGGCATTTTACCAGTCCACAACTTGTGCGGTACTACACCGTTCAATGCTTTTGTAGGACACCTATTCCGAATATAGCACGCTGTATTTATGGCCTCTGCCCAAAAATTTGGCGGAACTTCAGCTTGTTTCATCATGCAACGGGCCATTTCAACTAGAGTTCTGTTTTTACGTTCAGCAATACCATTTTGCTCCGGCGTATATGGAGCAGTTAAGCGTCTTTGTATACCAAATTTCCTCAAGAATAAATTAAATTCAGAATTAACGTATTCTCTACCATTGTCTGATTGTAAAGCCTTAATTCGTTTACCCGTAAATGTTTCTACTGCTCTTTTGTATTGCTTAAATACATTTAATACATCGGATTTTTGTTTTATAAAATATACATGACAATAGCGTGATTTGTCATCAATAAATGTTACGAAATATTTTGCATCCGAATTTGATGCTGTTCTCATTGGTCCGCACACATCACTATGC